TTTTTTTTTTTTTTTTTTTTTTTTAATTTTTTTTTTCAACTTTTTTTATTTATTTTGGGGACAGAGAGAGACAGAGCATGAACGGGGGAGGGGCAGAGAGAGAGGGAGACACAGAATCGGAAACAGGCTCCAGGCTCTGAGCCGTCAGCCCAGAGCCCGACGCGGGGCTCGAACTCACAGACCGCGAGATCACGAGATCCCGCGAGATCGCGAGATCGTGACCCGGCTGAAGTCGGACGCTCAACCGACTGCGCCACCCGGGCGCCCCTCTGTTGCCTTTTTTGCATCTTTTTGTGCACCTTCCCTTCTCCGTCTCTCTCTGCCTCGGTCCCTCTCTGCCCTCCTGTCTCTGTTCCTGTCCTTTGTCGCCAGTGCCATGTGTCCCCCCTCCCACCTCTGTCCTCCCTCAGACCATTCCTTCTCTCTCATCTTCTCTCCCTGTGGGTCCCCGCCCGTCACCCCACCCCTACGTGTGCTCTCTCCTCGGTGCTCTGGGCCCCGGCTTGTGCCCTGCCGGGTCTGACGAGTGCCATAGAGTGTCCCAGCGGCCCACATCCAGGATGCCCCCCTCCTCCCATCCCAGGACTCTGCCTGTTGAAGGGGCAAGTGTGACAAACGGAGACCCTAGGAGTGAGGGTGGGCCTCGGGGCGGGGGGGAGGGCGACAGGGGGAGGGGAAGACTCAGGGATTTTGGTGGCATTCGAACCTGTCCGTTGGGTGATCTCATTCAATCTCTCACAGACTCATTTCCTCATCTGCAAAATGGAGACCAGAAGACTATGTGTCTCATAGGTCAATGTGAGGATGAAACTATTTAAATTATGTGATGCTTCTAGAACACGACCTGCGACAGAGAAGGCATCCAATCAATATCAGCCTTTCTTATTATCATAGGGGAATCACAAGACATGAGAGCTACTGCCTGTTACATGAAGTCAGAGGAGGAAAGGACATTTTAGTTGGGGTCTTGAGGGTTGAGTAGGAGTTTGCTAAGCTTCCAGAGGACCCTCCAGGTTGATGGTACAGCATCCCAGAGTCCATGTCATTTCATAGATGAAGACGAAGAGGTCCAGAGAGGGGAAATTGGCCATAGTCATAATTATAAGTCCCGAAGAAGGTGGCGAGGCAAGCCTATAGTTTGATGTCAATGTCCACTCTGGTCTCGCGCCTGAGACTTCAGGAACAAATGGGTGAGTGGCTTACTCCGTCCTGATGTGAACACGGCTTTCTGCGTCTCTCTCGCCTCCGTTCAATCTGCTCCTGTTCCCCAACGATCAGCACACAGTTAGCCACCCCAAAGGCCGGGGCAGGGATGCTTCTGGAAGAGGAGGAGCAGCCAGCCACGGGCAGGTTCCTCGGATCAGCTGACTGGTGTTTACGTTTCTCCAGAACCCAAGCCCACACGTCTTGAAAGTGCTGCCCCTTTACTTGGTCTCCGAGGCTGCCTGAGCTCTGTCCCCACATCCCTTCTCCAGAGAGATTGCGTGGCTCTGGGAAGAAACTGGGTTTGAATCCCGGGTTCGCATCCTTCCCCCCGGGGGACCGACACTGCCAGCTTCGGCTGTGGCTCCCCAGGGTCCCCGCCTTCCGGTACCTTCGGGCCCTGGCATATCCCGTCGTGGAGTATGAGCTGCGCCCAGGGACTCGCTCCTCAAGAAGGGAACAGAAGCGTGGTGACAAGGTGTCTCTTCCGAGATCACACCCCCGGAGGCAATGGCTGCCTTCTTGCTTGCTCTCTCCCTCGCTCCCGGCCTCTCAGCTTGCACGCTGGGCCGAAGCAAGCCGCCATGTCGGAGAGGCCCACACGGCAAGGAGCTGACGGTGGCCTCAGTCCGACAACCCACGAGGAACTGCGGTTTCTGCTCTACGGGACCTGTAAGATAAGCCGTGTCGCAAGCCGCTGTGTTTGGGGGCCATTTGTTACGCACCATGGGTAACTGGTGCCGCGAGGTGGCATAGGAGGTGGTTTATACTGAGGCTTGAAGGACAGAGAGGGTGCCAGCTGGGAGAGGGCATTTTGGGTGAAGAGGTTAGCCTGTGCAAAGGCCCTGTGGCACAAAAGCTTAGCGTATTTAAGGACCTTGGGGATGTGAGCTCAACTCTTCTGGGTCCTCAAACGTCTGTCTGTGAGGAGGCTGCAATGCGGCCCGAGAGGACCCCAGGAAACGAGCCTCCCTTCCCTCCATCGACAGATCTTCCCAGGACCACGCCTGGGCCCCTTGGCAGGTGCTGGGGACACGGGGGATGGGGGAGCGTGGCACAACGGTGGCGGCCCCGCCTCACGGCGCCCGCGGTCCCGTGTGAAACAAGCACTCGCAGAGGCAAGTGGGAAGTTCCATGAGTCCCCGGGAGCGCGTGCCCGGGAGCCCCGGCCCGGACTCCATCCTGGCGCAGATGGTTTACACGGGATGGGAGGAGAGGGAGCCCGCCTTAAAGTACCTGCACCCACGGGTGCGCTGTCCGAGCCTGGGCTCCCCGTGAAACAGACCCCAAGGAGAGGACGTGATGGCAAGGGGCATTTTTGTGTGTGGGGGGAGGGGTGGGTGGGTGGGGTTGTCCAGGAGGCCCTGGGGGGGAGTGGGGAAGCGGGGGAGGGGCAGGAACCAACCCAAGGTGCTTTCCCTGGCAGGTTACCACTTGGAGCCGGTGGGGCCCGGGTCTCACCAGGGGGCCTGGGAGCCGGCGTAAAACATGTCGCTCAAAACTATCCACCCTGATGGGGGGTGAGGGAGCTGGGGTACGTATTCTCCGGGTCCTGTCCAGCACCAGCAGGTGACTGCGCCCGGGGCACTAACTCCTGGCACCTCCCACCTGACCCAGTGCCGGTGGCCCGACAGGAGCCCTGGCTGGGGAGTCACAGATTGCCCCCGAAATGCGCCTGGATGGTGAGAGTGGAGGTGCATGCTGGCTGGTCGCTGTCCCCATTTGCACAGCTACCCATCAGTGCACAACCGTGCCCACGCCAGACTCTCTGCTGTGTCTCTTCCCTCCCGACTCTCACTCCCATGCCACTAATTATCGCTTTGGTCATCGGCCAATGATGTCTGTCACACTGACCGCCCCCGCCCACCACGGTGCCCTTCCTGGCTTCCCCAGGATCCTGAGTTTCCAGATTATCGTCTGTGTTCAAATGCCCCACCTGGATGTATCCCCAGGCACCCGCAGGGGCCCCTGAGCCTTCCCAGTCACTTCCACCCAAGATCGGGGTGGTGGAGAGGATCCGCGAGCTGCTTCCCTCCCAGAAGCGATCTCTAACGCCAAATCCTGCCGCCCTATGCAGCTGTGGTGGGGGTGACGGGGCCGCAACAGAGGCGGGACCTGCCTCCCAGGGCGCGTTTCCAGGGGGGACACGGTGAATTCAGCCAGAAAGCTGTGGGTGTCGGAGACAGAAACAGCCTTCCCGGACTTGCCTGCGGACGGAGGGGACAGGCTGAAGCCATTCACAAGGCAGGCCCTGGGGTGGTCTCGCGGGACTGCTAGAGGAGCCCCGCCTCTGTCCCTCCAGCCCCCTATGGCTCATCCCCACGCGGTGTCACCCTGCAGGTGGCGGGCCAAGGGGCTACCCGGAGTCCCCCTGCCAGGACACCCTCTTCCGTTGTTCTAAAACAAAGCGCTCCCAGACTGAGTGGCCTAAAACTGGATCCTGTTCCCAGATCTGCATGTCGGGCCGGGCTCAGCGACACAGCTTGTCTCTGCTCCACTCGGCATCACCTACAGCGACCCAGAGGCCGGGGGACGGAACCGCTCGAAGCCTCCTTTGCTCCCGCGCCTGACGGCTCACGCTGGCAGGGGGCTGGGACCTCACCTGGGACTGGAATACCCAACCTGCGGCCTCTCCGTGTGCCTCGGCCTTCCTCACAACGTGGTGGCCGGGTCCTCAGGATGAGGGTCCCAGGAGAGAGCCAGGCAGAAGTGCTGCTACCTTGTGGAGCCTCGCCTTTAGGGGTCACGCAGCCTTCCAGCACATTCTGTTCAGTGCGGCATTCACAAAAGGCTGTCCACGTTCACCGGGAGGATTGGATTCCATCTTTTGTCGGGAACGAGCAGGGTCAGAGAATTGGCTGATAGGT